AACAATGAATATAGTAGTTATAAATGGATCATAACGAGACGAGTAAGAATGGGATGGGCCGCATTTGGAAAACTCTCATACATACTGAAAGACAAAAAGATACCCCAAAACCTTCGAACCAAAGTGTTCGATTCTTGTATCCTTCCCGTTATCACTTACGGAGCTCAAACCTGGACATTCACAAAAAAGAACATGGACAAGATTCGAAAAACTCAGCGAGCCATGGAACGATAGATGCTTGGTATCTCACTAATAGATCGGCAAACGAACGAAGCAATCCGGAACAAAACAAAAATAAAGGACGTCGCGAAACAAGCAGCTAAATTAAAATGGAAATGGGCTGGACACAACGAACGTCTCGAAGATGGTAGATGGAACAAAGAAGTCGGAAACTGGCGACCGTACGATGCGAAGAGACCAAGAGGAAGACCTCAAATGCGCTGGAGCGACGATATCAAAAGAGTCGCAGGACCAATGTGGAAACGCCTAGCACACAACAGGGATGAATGTCGAGAAATGGGAGAGGCCTTTATTCGACAATTCGGATAGAAAAAGGGCTATAAAAAAATGACCAACCTGCAGATCGAAACGTCAACCAAATAATTTAAATTATTCAAAATTAAATTTTGCATTTCACTACAAACATTATTTTTAACTATTATTGTGATATTTTCATTATATTGAGCTATATCCAGATCATATAATATAAATAAACATTAAAAAACATATCCACGTGGAATTCAATCCCGCCTAGATGGTAAAAATACAAATTTCAGAAAGTTCATTCGTATGTTTGCAATGTAAACTGTACTTCCCAAATAAATATGATTTCCATATCAAAATGGTTGATAATCAATTTGACCAGATATTGCGCATGGAAGCTAAATTATTGTTATATTGCGGCAGTTCCGCAATAGCGATGTTTAATATGGGTTATTACAGATACTGGCTTTAATTCATACTTTTGAGTTTATTAAAATTTTACTTCCATTTCATAACAAATGTATATATGTATTTGTACAGTTGTACAGTTTAGGTGTAAAATTTTGTAGAAAGTCTCTTTTAAGGTGTTTAATTTTTTATTTACTATGAAGGTTTTTAACCTTATAATAATATATGTTCTACTTGTCTAATTGACTGAGCAGGTTTTGGAGAGCTTCTGGTCTTAGTTGGATGCTTCATGCCGCAATCTTAGTCATCGTTTAATCAGTTCGGTTTCTTTTCTTTGAACATTTGTGGCAGCTGATTTTTACAGGATAATCTGGGAACCATAGACGCTTCTTTTATGGACGCTATACCTTAGCCAAAGTGGTCCAGATTTAAGGCGCTGGAAACCTTCATCATCCCATCACGGATAAAATTTATTAGTGTCAACGTAAGTCGATACTAAAAATATGGAAAAAGGCTGTACTGCACCGATTATTAATGAAGAAATTTACTAAATGAAGAAATAAAAACATCTTCATTTATTTTAGTAAGAAGCCATATTACTTGATTTAAATAGAAGGCAATTATCACTAATTCTTAGCTATTATCTTATAATTCCTATCATAAATTAGAGGAATAATTACTAACTGCGATGTGTAATTTTTATTAGCATAATTATAGTTTTAAATTAAACGCAACTCTGAAAGCTTCTTAAAAAGTCGTAATGGATCTCGTGAAGAGTTTTTTTTGGTTTATTAAACGCATTAAGTATGTGTTAAGTTATGCTTAATTTAATTTGATAATATTTACTCCAATCGACAATTTTGTGAATGTTGTCTTGATCTGAAAGTTATATTCCATTATTTAATATTTTCACATCATATGTATTTTATATCAGGTCGGGGCAAACGTTAATTTTATTTTTTGTTATTTATATATACATACTATATATACAGGGTGTTCCAAGCTGTTGTTAACAGCCTTCTTAATGGATGGTTATATGGTTAATAATTAACGAAGTAATGAATATTTTTGTTTGAAAATTTATAATATGTTGTTTAAAAGCCTTTATAAAAGGTATATAAAAAATGCCCCAAACGGGCCATCACAAACACATTGCAAAACGTTTTCGGATTGATAAATCCATCATCAGTGCAAACCTGAAAGTATATACCACTTTAATTAAAAAGAACGTTAAATTAAAATGTTGACAAAGGTTAGACAAAAATGTGGTTAATACTTACGGTTGTACATGCTAGTAGCCACCAAAATATATGGGTCAAAACCCTTTAAATGTTTTGAATTTGTAGTTGTTTTACATTATTAATAGTTACAATTTGTGATGTTTAAGTTACCGTTGGATAGGTAACATGGCGGCATGAGTAAAATGGTCTTGAGACGAAGTGTCTACGACGACCTGTTGATAACAACTGATCAAAATGACATTGTTGACATGTTAGGACGGATGTTGTGTCAGAGCAGTCAGTGTAACTTACGGTAGTTGTCTAAAAATGACAGATGTCAGCCTTATTTGAAATTGAAAAAAGTTAAAATTATAATAATGTAACAGTATCAACCATCCATACTGTAATCTGTATTGTAAATTAATCAAATAGCTATATTTGAAACATTGAAAATTGGTTTTTTAAAAATTAATGTGGGTCAACTGGAATTTATGAAATTTTGTAGGATTGATAGGCAACCAACTATACATGCGTAATGTCTATATTGATTCTTCTTCTTCTCGTGCCACTCCTAGCGGAGATTGGAAATCATCATGGCCACTGCGACTTTGTTAGCTGCCGTGATTTGACCATGTCAACACATTGTCTGTGTTTTCCTTCTAGGTTATGTCGATAGCGAGTATTGAGTTTGTATTGCACTGTGGTTTAATTTTAATATTATTATAGTAGTTTTTATTAAATAAAATTGAAATTTTCCATTTATGAAGAAAACTTAGTGAGAGTGGGCGATACCAATGAAGGATCTCGTAAAAATAAAAAGACTGTGGATAAAAAAACTCGAGCCAAGCTTAAGCGATACAGTACTCCAGTGGGATGTCGTGTGTTTGTTCCATGTAAACACATGAACAAAGGTATGAAATGTGCATTAGTTAGGCCTATAGATGCTATTTTTGTTCGAAATATCCTCTACAAAATACCTGACAAAAACACGCAAGATAACACCATTGCCAGTTGGATAAATCAACGTAACATAAAGCGGCGAAGGCCTAGGCCTACCTCTGAAAAATCAAAGGCTAAAAGTTTTAGTGTACAATATTCTATACTTTCATCAACCGGTAAAGTTATACCTGTGTGTAGGAAACTTTTGATGCATATTACCATGGTGAAGGGAACAAGATTGACTAATATTTCTAAAAAGGTGAAAGAGGGAAAGGCTGTTAAGGATCAGAGGGGTGGCGATAGGAAGAGTCACAAATCTGCTGCGAACAAGGAATCAGTCCGCCTTTTTTTGAGAACTTTAAGAGAAAAAGAAAGCCACTATAATCGAAAAGAATTTATCTTGGTGCAGACTTAAACATTAAGAAGTTGTGGCTAATATACAATGATTCTGTACTTGATAATGTTAAAGTTAAGAAATCTATGTTTAGGAGAGTTTTCAATGAATTAAATATCGGATTTTCATCACCAGCTTCTGACGTTTGCAGTACATGCAATGAAATAGATCTTCAGCTGAAAATTGAGAAGGCTAAAGCTGTGAAAGACTTTGTAGTGGTCAACCAATTTATGATGGAGAAAAGAATACACAGATTAAGAGCTAATGCTTTTTATGGGCTCTTAAAGGAAAACAAAGAAAATGAGGTTACTTTCTGTTTTGATCTCCAGCAAATTCAGACACTTCCCAAAACTCCTATTCAAGACACGTTCTACAAAAGACAATTAAGTTTTTACTCTTTTTGCATTGTAGCATCAAACGCACAAAACCCCATATTTTACGTATGGACTGAAGAACTTGCCGGAAGGGGTGCGACCGAAGATTCATCTGCACTTATAAATTTCTTGAACTCCGCTAATTTTTCAAATGTAACAAGACTGAATCTGTTCTGTGATGGGTGTGCCGGTCAAAATAAAAACAATGCCGTTGTTCACACATTAGTGTATTACTTAGGATCAGTGCAAAATGCTTTAGAGGAGATTGTTCTAACATACCCTGTTCGCGGGCATAGCTTCCTCCCCGCTGATCGGGTGTTCGGAAGGGTTGAAAAGTTACTCAGGAAGCAGCCTACCATTGCAACAAAGGAAGAGTACTACAATGTATATAGTTCTGTTGGAGAAGTACGGAAACTTGGAGAGGATTGGGGATTGATTGATGCTAAAAGTTTGGCTACACGATTTAAAAACATTGAAATGATATCTGAAAAGAAGAGGATTTTTGTGAGGAAAGAGAAAGCTGTCAACCGCAATGGACAAGAACTTACTGTTATCAAAGTGAAATCGGCACAGAATTTTAGGTTTGAAAGTGATTTTGAAACCTACAACAAGCCTCAAAAAAAAGGCTGGCATTCTGCAAGGTCGTTCTCAACTCCTGTAGAGTCACTTCCACTGAGCAATATAGTGAAAGCAGCTAAGAAGAAGGACGTGGAGACGTTACTTGTGAAAATGTATGGTGATGACTGGCAGAAACATGACTTTTTATCTTGGTATAAGACCATAATAGTGGAAGTCCAGGACGACAAAATTGATGCTGACGAGGTTAGATATTTTAAGTAGTCTAAGAGTTTTTTTTATCAACCCCTTCTATCAACGTCCATGAAGTAAAATCAAATAAGAACATGTCCTTTTTTTAAAATGTATTTACATGTTTATTTATACCTTCAGATTCGAAATATTTACTAAGAGTCAGTTAATTTCAATAAATAAAATGGTATATGCTAATTTATCCGATTTTTCATGTAAGGTTATTTACCAATACGTTTTTTGCGATTTCCCTAAAACTTCTTAAGGTGGACATGATTGATTTTGATTGACACCTCCTCATTTGTTCATGAAACATTTATTATTTCTTTATATTAATGAACATAAAAACTATTTTTATTCTCTTGTCTTTTCCAGACGCCATTTGTCCGGCACAACACTCCTCATCCGAAAGAATTAAAGGCAAAGGCCCATAAACTTTTCGGAAAAGGTCAAAATTCACTAGAAGAAAGCGAGCAACATTCCAACGATAACAGTGCAAACACGCCCGAGGCTCTCAATCTACATGTAAAGCAAGTTCCTGAACCACCACAGGTATATATTACATTGAATGTTTGCTTAAGATAATTAATAATTTTATTAATTTTTTTAGATAATTGAACCTCCAACTCGACCCGACTCTGCAGTAGGTAATGGACAAGTCGAGGAAAGTGAGCATAGCCATGATGAAGACACGGATGAGGTGAGTGCACAAATAAGAATATAAATGAATATTTCAAGAATTTTTAATATATATAATCAGAAAATTAGTAGTATTCAATAATGATAAATTAAAAGATCACCTTTACCTATCTCTAGAGATGTTATAGTTACTTTTTTTAAAAGAAATAATATCCGGCGAATACGTTGCTTCAAGAAATGGCATCTTAGAACCTTAAAACGCTTGCAACCTCATATTTCTTGACATTTTGTTTAAAATAAAATTCTAAATTAATATGAACTGAGTATAATTCCTCAATATAAAATGTTGCGGTATACCGATTGATAAGATAAATATATCTGGATTTCAGGTAATTATTTTGTCATTTTATACCGAGAATTTACGAAATTTATCTCATTTTCATATAAATGACATGCATGCTTAAACGAACATTTTCGAGGAACTAACATTACTAATTTTATGGAATTAGATTATTTGTTTTAACTAATAGCAATGACATTTCTTCTATTTGTACATAAAATATGATTTCGGTTAGGTTGGCTATATTTCAAATGTGTAACAGTTACTAAATTATAACCGAACATCGATCGCATCTTCGCGCGGAAACAGCTTTAATTAATAATTTAGAGATGGCAGTGCATTTTAAAAAATAACTGTTCTTAAGTCGATATCTTAATAATAGAAACACATATTAGACACATTCAGAAACTCTTTAATTAGTTAATCATATTATTTTAATTCAACTACACACGAAGTTTACATAATATCTAACATTTTTTTAATCTAATATCTTTTCTTTTGGAAAAGCGTTCTATTATTCAATTTGGCTTGAATTGGCGTTGGCATATTATATTATTTGAAAATTAATTGAAATGAGGTTGAATGCTCGAATAAATAAACTTTGAAAATTAAGGCAATTATATCGAGCACAAGTTAAGTAAATCTAGCCCAAGTACTTTCGCTTAAAATAGCATCTTCAGGGGCATCTGAAATAAGCCAAGAAAACGTTTTTTAGATGAAGGAAATTAGTTAACTTCGATAAAAAACTCGAAGTTAATGGATGAAAACAAAGTTTTTGAGATTAACGTTTTAGACTTACTTCGTCAAAATATAAACTATCCGGCAAGCGTAGAATGTGGAAACATTAATAATAACATAAAATTGTACAAAACACTACACTAAAACGAGGACAAACAGTTTAAAATTACTTTAAAGATTCTACGCTACATTCTTTGTCAGTATCTGGAGGGATAATGATCTAAGCGGAAATGATACGGTGACATGTGACATATGACAACTTTGATAGGCAGTCAAAGTTATGGATCTGTGATCAGCACATATTAAAATTCTGTATAAGTTGTCATTGGCCAAAGGTCCAACTAGAACTACTACTGAAAAAATCAGCTGATGAAGTATAACATATAGAATATTTTGATTTAAACTAGATTGCATAATCCATATCTTACACTCACACCCGTCTGTAATAATAAGGTTGTAGGTTTGAGGCCAAATGAAGTGTACATAAAGTGTGAATGAAAGAAATAGACCAAACGATCTATTTGACAGTGGGTAGTTGACTACAATAAAATGGTCTACCAGGCCTATTATATTATTTGGCGTTTGAATTTAACTAATACATGTCATCAGACTATTTTCATGCTTTTACTTTTTTGTTTCATATTGGAACCGGAATTAAAACTCAGGGTTCGAATTATTTATACAAATAATTTATTGAAATGTTTACAAGCTTAATCGTCTTCGAGAAATTGATTTTATAACTAACTCATACAGCAAATTAAGCGGTCGTTTATGCTTTTCTTTTTCTTTTTATGTAGACATGATTCATGTCTATTTTTCAATGTGCGTCCAGTAAGTTATCGTTCCATCGATTTCGTGGTCTTTCTACTGATGGTCTTCCTATTGGGGAACCGTCTCTTGCCGTCTTTACTACTCTATTTGTTATCATTAGGCGTATATGATCGTTCCATTCAACTTTATGATTTCTTACCCAGATATCTATACTTCTAGCTCTGTTACATAGTGTCTTACCATCATTTTGTAAGTGCTTTCTGCTGTTTCTAATATTTTTTTGTCCCTTCTGTATCAGGTTGTGTTTCTGTTATTGGTCTGATGACTGTTTTGTAAATTTTGTCTTTGAATTCTTTCCCGATATTTCTGTTTGCTCTATTCACTCGATTCCACCTCTGTTTCGAGCTTTCCGCAGTTAGATAGTGTGATACCTAGTCTGTCCATGCTTTCTTTTGAATTTGTTTCGTTTTTATTAGTTCCTTCTTCTCTTTTCTTTGTTCTCTGATCATTCTCCATATTACTTTTTGTGTTCCGTAGAAGTCGTGTTCCATCAGTTTTAAGAAGCTCTCCAGTGCTCCGTTTTTATTTGTCTAACTAAAGTATTGATTCATTTCTGATTCGTTTATGGTAGTTGTATTTATATTGTGCTTGTGTCAGAGAAAAGTCTCTTGAATAGGGAGAGAAGCGAAAACATAAGAAGAACATGCAATAGAGAAGACATAAATTGATGAGTGACAAAACGGAAACAGTGAGTGGAACGAACACAGTAGATTGGCAGAGGACAGGATAGCACGAATAGCACGATATAAGTCACCAAATGGACGAACAAGTATTAGCTTCTTAGGATGCCTGTCCGTACTGAACGTTGGCGATCATTCTGGTTATGATTACTTTGTTGGTTGCTATACGAAATAGCTGTGTTGAGGTCTTTCTATACCATGCTCTCAGGTTAGCAAGCCAGGATATTCTTCTTCGTCCTGGGACCCTTTTTCCTTCAATTTTACCTTGTAAAATGCATTGAAGTAGCTCGTATCTGCCTTGGTTTCTCATTATATGTCCCAAGTACTGCAGCTTACGGCTCCTCACGTTGTTGACCAAATCCGCAGTTGTGTCCATCCTCCGCAGTACTTCTTCATTGGTGACTTTGTTTATCCATGGTATCTTCAAGATCCTTCTGTATGACCATAGCTCAAAAGCCTGAAGTTTTGATAGAGTTTCCGCCTTCAATGTCCACGTTTCTACTCCGTACAGAAGCACTAAGTACACATAACATTTAAGGAGCCTTATTTTTGATCCTGGGGGAGGTCATGGCTCTTGAACACAGAACTCATAGTCAAGAATGCACTCTTTGCCTTTCCGATGCGACATTTAATCTCTTGGGTATTGTCCCACGAGTCATTGATTACAGTTCCCAAGTATTCAATTCTCATTTCGTTCACATTTGCTCCAGTTATGTTTTCCTTTTAGACGATCATTAGCTTGGTTTTGCTGGTGTTTATATCCAGTCTATATTTTCTAGTTGTTTCCGTTATTTTGTTCGTTATGTTTTGCAGTCCTTCTATGGTATTGAAAAACACTATTGTATCATCTGCATACCGCAGGTTATTGAGCTTTACTCTATTTATTGAGATACCTTCATCAATATCTTTTAGAGCCTCTTCAAAAATGTGCTGCGATTACAGATTAAATATCAGTGGTGAAATTATGCACCCCTATCTCACTCCCCTTAAGATTTTAACCTGATCTGTATATTCTCCATCTATTCGGAAGTACCGCTAATCGATTTTAATACAGGTTAGATATTATTTTTAAGTCTTTTCCGTCAATCCCTGTCCTCTTCAGCACTTCTATCATTTGTTCATGTCTGACTCTATCTAAAGCCTTCTTGTAATCAATCAGGAATGCACAAACATTACAGCTGACATCTCAGACCAAGAAAAGATTGTGAAATAATTTAAACAATTTAGGAGGCTAATATTGAAGAAGAAACAGGCTTTAAAGCCTACATACAAGAAGGAAGAAGAAGAAGGCCTAATCTATGGTCGCTACCTACATATTAGGTATGGGGGATTTCTATGGGATACTGCAACCTTCGGGATGATTCGGCGCCTTTCACTCACATTCGAGAATAATCGGCGCGTGCCAACGGCATTCTGAAAGTTCAGGTCAGGACTTCCAAAACTTGTAACATCCTATTTACTGTTTTCTTTCCTGTTTGCTATTTTCTGTTACTTAGATTGAATTGTTACATGTTCTACATCGAGTGACCAATCACGTCTAATCGCTATATAGGACTGACATAATGAAATAACGATTTTTTCCTATATTAGAGTTAATCTCATGTAATAAATGCATTGTTGTCAAAGTTTCAGCAAACATAGTGACCATATAATTCTTTAGTTTATTTGTTTCGAACGTAACAAAACAAGATAGCTGGTTTCATTTAAAAATCGCTAATTCTCTACGCTCAAAAAAACACTAATTTCGTTACTGACTAGGTTAAATGTCTTTGCGATATTATTCAGTTGTTATAAAATTCTTCCTCTTCTTCTTCCTTCCGTCTTTATTCTGGATAAATCGTTTATTTAAACTTCATCCACCTGCATAAACGTTCAGATTGTCGGTCCACCTTTTGCGGGGTTGTATCTTCCTGGTGAGTCCCAAATGATAACAATGAAGTTGGAAGTATAAATGAAAACATAAGTAATTAAAAAGCATTACCCATTTGGTTTATCCAAAGTTATTATTAGTTGGCATCCAATCTGAAATTCGAAACTTTAACAAAATTTAATTTTCCCGATTCATGTGAAATGTTAATTAAAACTTTAATTTTCATGCAATATTACATTTGTATTAAATCAGTTCAATCCTTTCTGTCTTCTTCTTCTTCCAATGGCGCTACAGCCCAAATTGAGCCTTGGCCTCCTGTAACTTCTGCCTCCAACAAAGGCGATCCCGCGCCACTCGTCTCCAAGCCCTGACGTTCAGTAAGTTGTGCGCATCTGCTGTGACTTCGTTCTCCCATCTATTACGTGGTCTTCCCTTTGGTCTTCTGCCCTGCATTTTACCACCCAAGGCCTTTCTCGGCAATCTGTCGGCATCCATCCGTACCACATGACCAGCCCATCGAAGCCTTTGTACTCTAGTGAACTCTGCAATAGGTGCTTCTTTGAACAGTTGGTAGAGTTCATGGTTATATCTAGATCTCCACA